ACTCACCCCCAGCCCCTATGCCGAGTAGCAAAGCACTGGAGCGACAAAATGGCTCAGTAGGCACCTTGGTTTGCTCACTGGTTAGAAAGCTGCCAGAGTTCCATTCCTCTCTGGATCCCGGATGAGCCCCCAAAATGTTGACTGGCGAAAATAACTTTCCAAGTAATCCACAAAGAAAAGGTTTATTCGGGAAAAGAAAAAAAACAAGAACCACCACCGCAGTGTGAGAACGCACACCTCCTACATGGAGTTCCAACCCCACACCCACATGAAGCAAAAAGACCCGCCCCCTTCCAAGATGGCTAATCCCTTTATTATGATCCCACCCCCAGAAGTTACCACAGAGCTAAACAGGAAGTCAGGATTACAGATTAACAAGGGGCCCAGTTCTACCCATAGTCCTCCCAACTCTATGGTTAAGGATCTTAAGATGCCAGTTCACTTCTTATCAAAGGGGAAGGGGTCTCAGGCTGCCGGGCAGCTGTTGGCCTCCAAGTTGGTTTTCCCCTGAACTAGACTTCTTGAATGCAGAGAACCTTGGCTCGTCACTGTGCTCACTGCTATGGTCTAAATGTTTGTGTCCCCCCAACATTCATGTTGAAAGCCTAATGCCCAAGGTGATGGTACTAGGAGGTGGGGCTTTTGGGAGGTGCTTAGGTCATGAGGTCAGAGCCCTCATGAATGGGATGAGTATCCTCATAAAAGAGGCTCCAGAAGACCTTGCCCCCTTTCTGCCACGTGAGGACACAATCACAAGTCTGCAACGAGAACAGGGCCCTCAGTCAACTATGTTGGCACTCTGATCTCAGCTTTCCAGGCTCCAGAACTGGGAGCAATACATTTCTCCTGTTTATAAGCCGCCCAGTCTGTGGTACTTTGTTACAGCAGCCTGAACAGGCTGAGACACCCACCACGGTAGGAGACTAGAAATACTGCACTAATTTTCATCTCAGGGTAACTGGTGGGCAGATACTTTAAAACTTCAGGCTACCTCATCAGCAGTAACCATCATCCACAGATAGTACATGCCCTCCACGTGACACCAAGATGGAGACCAGGGATGGGAGTTCTTTTATCAGTTGTGGTGTGACTGGGCCTGGAAACACGCCAGACATGAGCCCTGCCACAGTTCACTGGGTACCAATCATGCATATCAGCTCTGAATGGCAGGGGAGAGGAGGGGAGCACAGAGTGGCCATCATCCACAACATAGCATCCTGCCTAGCCTTGAGTTCCAGTCTCTCTCAACTTTGTTCAGTTGGGAGAGAATATAGAACTGAATATGATTCATGCTGACAGCCAGTCTGCAGTCTCCTGAGTGAGGACATGCCCCTGACTTCTGTTTCTGCGAGTCTATGTCCATTTCCCCAAGAGCAGAGGTCCCAGCACCCTAGGCCGAGTTGTCAGGGAAGGGTTGTCAAGGAGAGGGAAGGAGGCAGCCTGGACCTGACTGAGCAGCTGAGAGCCCTAGCTATAGCAGAGGCACAGCAGTTCTCTTGAGACACCAGATGGCCACTGACCAGTAAGAGGAAGGACAAACCCTGACAAGGCTCCCTCACAGCCCCTTAGTGCTAATCACCAGCTGTCCAGAGGAACTAAGGAATGGGGTGAGGCGGTCATCTGGAGGAAAGGTGGTCCATGGCAAGAGTGCCACTGCTGGGCTGGGAGCCAGACCGTCCCCGCTCTGAGCTGTTCCCAGGTTTGCTTCTCACAGTAGACAGTGCCCAGCAACAAGGCATACCAGCCCTCAGTAAGCTTCCCATCTCTCCATGGCCTTTCCCTTGGCTGCGCCTTGCAGCTTTCCTGTACCCATCACGCTGCTTTACTGTTAAATCTTTGTTCATGCTGACCTGAGATGACTCCCCCTTTGCCCTCTCTATCCCTTTCACCTTTAAATTACACCTCCCTCATCACTGATGTACACTCCTCCTGGTCTGGACCCCAGCTGAGTGTGGCCTATTGATCCCATTGTGTCTTGGACTTTCTTCCATCATTGCTTTGACAAGTCTATTAAAAATAATGCTGTTTGTCTTCCCCCACTGTATCATGGGCTCCCACAGCATGCCTCTTACTCATCTTTGGAGGCTCTGGGCCCGGGCCTATTTCTAGACCTGACATGCAATAGGTCTCAGTTTTTGTTAAATTCCAAGAGCCCACAACCTCAATAGTCCAGGGCTTTTGAAACAGAAAGCCAGCCTCTTCCTGCCTTCCTGATGCATATGGCTCCAGCAGCCTTTCTACTCTGGGTTTATACATGCTTCCATCTTCCCACTGGTACGACCATCCACCTATTACTACCTGCCTTCTCCTCACCCCAATTCCCATCTACTAAATCAACTTAGGGTCAAAGCTGCCCGGCCTCACAGATGACAAACAGCCCATCCAAACCTGCATTTCCATTGAGTTTTGTGACTCGAGGGGACGGTAGGAGCTAGGCCAGTGTAGTACAGAGCGCACTGACTCTGCTGTTAGCTCTGGATTCAAATCCCATCCCATTTACCAACTGGAGGACCTTAGGCAAACCTCTTCACTTCTCTGAGCCTCGGTTTTCCATGTATAAAACACGGAGACTAATTTTTTCCATAGGATATGGCTTAGGTTGGGTTCCCCGCAAATCAGGTCAAATTTGAGTGTAAATAGTTTAATTGGGAAGCGATCCTGGCTAGGGCCGGGATTAGGGGGATCATGGGAGGTGCCCTGCTGTAAAATGTAAAGAGGGTCAGGTTCACGCAAGTGCCAAACCTGCCCTTACAGGAACCCAAGAGCGAGGGGCCCTCACTCTAGACCCAGCCCTGATCCAGGAAGCACTGACAGGGCAGTTGGAAGTACAGTAGGAAGCCAAAGCAGCATACATAATCAAGCTGCTGCTGGGAACCAAACCCCACTTAGGAATTCTGGGAGACAGGTAGAATGCACCCACCTGAGAGGTGAGGAAGCTGGGGTATTTATCCTCCAACTGCCATCTCTCACTAGTTGAGGGATGCTTCAGGGGCCCTAACTCCCTGGCCCTCCCAGCCTGTGCTACACAAGCCTAGACAAGTGCTAAGGCAAAGTTGCAATAGGACCCTGTGGGGTATGTCATAGAATGGTGAGTGCCCAGAGGAAATGGGCCAGGCATGGCCTCTGCTAGAGGGCTATTGTAAGGGTGAAAGGAAGTAACCACAGTACCTAACACAGAGAAGTCCTCTTCTCTTTCCCAGTTTATGGCAATCGCTTGTGAAGTTCATGGAGCTTCCCAGCTCTCCATGAGTCAACACCACCAGCAGAACAGCTGCTTCCCATCTTTCGGAAGCAAAAAAAACAAACAAAAACCCCAGAGTCCCTAGGAGAGCTCAAATGCCCAGGGCCGGAGCTTGCTGCCGATGGCTCGAGACTGAAGGAGCTAAGGTAGTCCAGGGCTCGTTCCTCTGAGAACTGCTTCCTCCTGCATCTGTGCCCCCCACCTCTCTCTGGCTTCTCCTCTCACTGTTAACACTACTTATGCCATACAAAACTGGCATCACGTTAATAACAACTGCTGCCACTTACTCATCTTCTGTGACAGACATTATGCCTTTATACTCACCTTAATCCTGAGAAACCTGTAAGATTTTTCCCATTTTATGGACAAGGAAACTAGGTCTCAGCAGAGGGTTCAGAGTCAGAATAGGGTGATCCTCTTTCCACTGACTTTGTCTCTTCACTGTCTCCGCAATGCCCCTCCTACAGGACCACCGGCTTGGGATGGGTGCGGAGAAGACAAACAAGCTGCCTTTACCAAAAACTGGGGTGCAGGGAGGGGCACTGGGGAGGTGGCTGTTCCCTCCCCAAACACACACTCCCCATTAGCTAGCAAATAAACCTGTTGTTCCTGGTCCTGCTGATCCACACCCTCCTTCAACAATTTGCCACTGACCCATGTTCTAGGGAGACTGATCAATTTTGAACTAAATAATTCACTATGTAGAATCAGCCCTTTTCTTATCTTCAGGCAGTGATAAACATACTATCCCATTTATACAGCTCTGCCTCCAATAAATTGCCATTTAATGAGAAGACTAGTGAGAGTTAAGCTGATGGGACATAACTGATAAGCTAATTTTCATTAGAAGGAAAACAGGAAAATAATCAATACAAGAGTCAAAATATAGCATTTTCTTTAGGACTGAAGAGGAGGGGCACTGTGGTGTCACTGCCATGGACAAAAAGTGGCTTATTTGTTCCTCTCAACCTTTGTTTCCTCATCTGAAAACTGGAAAGAATAATACCTACCTCATAGGTTAATACCTGTGAGGATTAAATGAAGGTACATACATTGCCTAAACCATAGTAGTTGCTCAAAAAATAACAGGTATTACTTGTGATGTAACTTTGGATTTGATAAATCAGAAGTTAGGAGAGTACAAATAGTTTATCTGTTGTCTGTCCCAGGATCCTTTCCTGGTCAGCAACCACCTCCCATAGTCTTTCATTACATCTTCAAATGGTCTGGGCCAAAGCTAGCTTTCTTAACATCCTTGTGTGCTCCTCTCCCTCAGGAGCTGCTCCCGCCATCTGACATCTTCATTCTGCACTGGAAGCTCCTGGGCAATGTGGTCGAGAATGTGCACTCTTCTCATGTACTAAAATAGAACCTATTTCCTATTGCCGCTATGACCTCTAACAGCAAGAGAACCAACCGATCTCGGTTTTAACAGATGAATAGATACTCCTGGCATACCCAATGGTTAATCTGGGAAGGAAAAATAAGTGTATAGGAACTAATAACAGAGTGTTCACTGAGAAATTCCTGGGAAGTATGGCAGGACATACTTCCCGCAGAGGTCTTATGCTCTGGGTGGGGCAGCAAAATGAAGTAACAGGTCACTCAATGGTAGGAACAGCAAAAAAGGAAGGATTCAATGCCCTGGCACCTTCCAGAATGGTGTCAGAAAAGGTCAATGGGGTAAACACACAGTGTTCGGAACTGTGCACTACACATTCAGTGAATACAAGCAGTATATCAAAGACCAGTAACGAAATTCATTCAGAAACATGTAATTTATGAGCATGAGAACTGGCTCCACAATTAAAATATCCCCACCCAAAACCCTATAACAGGGAAAAAAGGAAGATCTCCATCGTACTGAAATAAGATTTCATACAAACATAGATAAATATATTTAAATTTTCTTTTAACCATAAGTGAATTCAAACAGGCTGTTATAAAACAGAATACTATACAGAGCTGTCTGTATAAATCATAGAAAACATAAAAACCAGAATGCTGGATGGGTGCTGGTGGTGGAAACTACAGGGCCAAACTCTCAACAAGGAACTGGGGGCCACTGAGGCTTAAGGAACATGGCCCACGCCTGTTGCTAAATGGTTCTGTCAACCTCCAGACCCTAGAAATTCAGAATTTTCTCCTTCTTCCTCTGCCTGCTTTGGTCCGTGGCCGGCTGCCTGGCCGGACAGTAAACTGCTTTTTAAAATCCACCAAGCAATCTGTAGCTTCTGAAATGGAAACAAAAGACTTGATGGGAGACTCATTTAAGTCGATATGTGCAAGGGAACTCTGCATCTCTTTGCTGCAGCCTGCTTCTTCTGTACCTGGTGAGGGTTCCCTAGAGAGAAGGAGAAAAATGCGTCACACATTGTACCGGGGACTTTTACATATATCAATTCATATAATCTTTGTGATCATCCAACCAAATAAGTACTATCATTCCCCTTTCACAGATGAGGACATTAGGAACATTTTATACCTAAAGCCACACAGTTGGGCAGTGAGAGAATGAGGATTCAGACCCCAATTCCCACGCTGCTTGAAATCCAAGTCAGAAGACCAGGGCTGGGTGGGGATAGAGAGGTAGGGAGGAATAAGACACAGCTTTGGCTCTGCTTATTTTAACACCATGAGTGAACTGAGCTAGCCATCCAATTCTGAGCTCAGATATATGAGGGTGACAGAGATTTACAAAGACAGGTCACAGGTCCACACTGATTTCTACCTTCATCAGTTTGAACATCACATTATACACAGAACCCACGACCACGCCTGCACTTTTCTAGAGCTGCGGAGAACCACACTCCAATGGCTGAGAGCCACACCCCAATTCACCTGAAAGCCACTGTTTCTGAAGACTTGGTCTTTATATCTGCATCTGTGATAGGAGAGAAAAAGTAATAATGTCCTTAGTAGTAATCACACCACCTCTCACTGATCATGTGTTTCCTATGCTCTGGGCACTGCTTTTCATCAGGTTTATCCACGTAGCTCAGTTCCCCAACCCCCAGACCAATGGAATGTGAGCATTAACCATCCGACAGGCTCAGCTGCATAAGTACTGAGGTGAATGCTTTTGAATAAACAAACTCTGAATAAATCTACTTCATTCTGGACTAGAGGAACAAGGAGTTGCCAAGGGAAACCTATCACCTGCAGAGATGCACAACCTACTAATCTAGAGGCAGTGGGGGGACATGGGGCTCAGAGAGGCTGCCTTTTTATAGTCATCAGAAAGGCTTAAGGAAAAGCTCCTCTTCCATCTGCATCTAGTGAGCTTTAACAACAGCAACTAATAATGACCACAATAATAAGAGCAGCTAACATTTATCGAGAGCCTACTTATGCCAGGGAATATGTTTGGAGCTTTACCAGACACAGTCCTTACACTTTATGAAGTTGGTATTACTAACTCCATGCAATGCTTGTAACCAATCTACTCTACTGTTCCCTAAATACCAGGCACAAAGAGACAGTTACTTCCTACAATCCCTCAGGAGTATATTTGGTACACTAAGCTAAATGTAACATATGAATGATGCACAAAACCTTAGGAGGAGGCAATAACATCTGCATGTCTGATTTTCCATGCCTGTTCCTTTAGAAAGTATTTGGGGCTTGGGCATTACCCTGTGATTTAGAAATGGTTTTTCCCAGTTCAACAGGCAGTCCTTAAAGTTCAGGCTTTATGAAGCCTGAAATGAAATGCACTGTGAATAAGACAGGGTATCTCCCATTTTCCTTAGGGAGAGAGTACCTAGACTGAGTCGCCAAGGTCAAATGTACATCCACTTAACTCCAACAAACAGGGAGTTGGCAGTGGTTCTTTTTACTGAAAGGCCTTAGGCAGAGGCCCAGAAAACTGGTCCGGGGTCCTCACCTGCAGTCTTGTGCACAGAGTGTTCCAAGAGACTGAGGAGTTGGCCTTCCCTGTGGCCTTTTTCCTGTGACAGAGATAAACAGATGTGAGGGTTACCTCTTGACAGATAATCTAAAATACCACTTCCTTAGCCCAGATCACACCTGTCTCCAGGACAAAGAAGTGTAGAGGCACACCTCTAGGAAAGTCTTTTGCATTCTAATAAATGAGGGTTAACAAGTAAAAAAGCAAACTGTGATGAAGAGATACATATTTATGCCAAGAATATTATCCAAGAATCGATAACAGAATGAAGGCAAATTATTCCACCAAGATCATATTAAAGAACAGTAGCCTTTGACCTATGACAGACTTGGAGCAATTTAAAATAGAAAACAACAGTTTCAAGGTAACTCCTAGGGGCAGTGATACCAGAAGAATAAACGGGCTCTATAAGACCCAAGTCCAAATCACCACCTCAAAATCTCCCCACTCAGGGGTCCCTTTCTTATATATATATATATATATATATATATATATATATATATATATATATATATATATATATACATACACACACACATACACACACACACACATTTATTATTTCATTTTTTTAAATTGGGGAACAGTGTGTTTTTCCAAGACCCGTCAGCTCCAACTCAAATAGCTGTTTCAATCTAGTTGTGGAGAGTGCAGTTCAGTGGCCCGTGCAGGGATCGAACCAGCAACCTTGAAGCTATGAGCACTGTGCTCTACCAACTGGGCTAACAGGCCACCCGGGGGTCCCTTTCTTGTGTCATGACAGATAATGGCTTCTCCATCTTAGCATACAGTGATTGCTATGTGAGTAAGCCTAGAATATGAAGCTACTGTTTTATTTTTTATCTCTAAGCCAAAATTTGCTCTTCCTGATCTAATCACAAAGCCCAGAAAACACATCCATCTTCCCAGTGACTAGACCCCCCAGTTTCCTAAGGCCAGGCACACAAAGCGTTCAACAGAGTTGGTCTCGAAGATTGGCAGTTGGGGGTATGACTAGATATCCTTTCTGAAAAGCAATTTGGCAATATGTTTCAAGAGATTTTTAAATGTTTACATCCATTGCCCTAAGGGGAAATTTATTCTAAGGAAATAATCAATGGTATAGAGACTGACTAATGTTTTAAACAGTCTTATAATACAGAAGAAGTGGAAAGCACCTGGATGTTTAATAATATAAGAATGGTTAAATGACTTGTGATATAAACATTAAGAGTAATTTTAAAAAATAATTTAGGGGCCAGCCGAGTGGCTTGGTGGTTAAGAGTTGGTTTGGAAGTGTGAGCTCTAAGCAGCAGGGCCGCTGGTTCAAATCCCACATGAGCCAGTAAGGCTGCACCCTCTACAGCTAAGATGGTGAACTACAGCTCAACCTGGGGCTGGGCTGCTGTGAGTCGTCGGCGTAGGCTGCAGTCCCTGCTGTAGTGGGCTACCATAAGCTACCGTGAGCAGCTGGCAGCCAGCGTGAGCTACTGTGAACTGCTGTGAGCAGCCGCCCAATGGCCAGCGAGCGACTGCCTCACCTGGAAAGAACGCAATGATAATACTAACATGGACCAGTGAAGCGATGTCCTCCACAACTAGACTGAAGAACAAAAGGACAGCAACTTGTCTGTTCCCCTTCCCTGATTCCCCAACACTGTTCCCCTCTCCAAATTCCCCAATAAAAATTAAAAAAATCTTAAAAAAAAAAAAGTTTAAAAATAAACCAAGGAAGGTGTTTATGCTACAATGTTACGTACACACACACACACACACACACACACACACACACACACACAGTATAATATCCACTACATTAAAAAGGCATAGAAGAAAATAGGCCAAAATACTAAAAGTTATCTTTGAGTAGATAAATTATGATTGATAATTTCCCAATTCCTCATACTTGTTTTTAAACTTCCTGTATTTTCTCCAATGAGCATATATTATTTTTTAATTAAAAGAAAAAATAATTTTAAGAAGTATAAATCTTGTTTCAAGATAAACAGAAGAGGGCCGGCCGAGTGGCGCGATGGTTAAGAACTGGCTTGGGACGCCAGAGGGCCCCGGTTCAGATCCCACATATGAGGGCCAGTGACACTGCC